CTATATAGTTAACACATTGATGGCATACAAATTTAGAAAAGTTTTAATACATGTATATAATGTTTACAGTACAAATGAAATTTCCTTTCCAATTTAGAGCTTATAGATCAGCACATAACATTTATAACACAAGGTTTCTCCCAATAAATTGAAGACATATCTAAAAAAAAAAAAAAAAACCTAATTTTTTTTTTACATACCGATATTCATTAAGTATATTTCATACCATCTTACTATAAAAAAAATATTTATTTTAAATTTCCCAAAAGAAATTTTCACGAATGGAGTTGTATACAACCTTCAGACATTTAGATCATTAGTTTGAAAATAGCGCGTTAAATTAGCATCTTCTATCATTGTTTTTGTTGTACTTCCTCGTAGACGAAGTATAGAGGAAGTATTGTAATCGTGCAAAAAATCAAAATCGCTAGTTTCACAAATCTCGATGTTTTACACGTCCATGAGTCGGAAAAACAGAGTTTGGCAATCTTGTCCGTATGTCTGTGTGCGTATGGATGTGTATGTGTGTGTAAGTATGTAGGTGTGTCTGTAAACACGATAAATTGAGTACCGTTACAGACAGGTTGAATACATTTCATATATAAGTATTATATCAAATGTGTAGTTCTGTATTAACTTTTCAGCAATTTCCGGTAACCGGAAGTGGAACCTTTTCTACTTTCAATTTTTGAAAAGTCTATAACTTTAGTACTATTTCAGTAAAATAAATGACATTTCACATGTACGTAAAAGATCTAATTCTCTGCCTTCTTTCTAATTTTAAGTAATATCCGTTGACCAGAAGTAGTAATTTACGCTATTTCCGATAGATTGTAATGTCTTTTCAGCGTTAAGATTCTGCAGCGTACTGTCTCTATTTCTGTATTGAATATCTGCAATCCACATGGAATTCATCATGTTTATCCATCTCGTTCACTGAGAACAGTGTGGGCGGTGGCTCTATGTGAGCAGATATTCTAAGATCGCTCTATGTGTGCAGATATTCTAAGGTCGCTCTATGTGTGCAGATATTTTAAGGTCGCTCTATGTGTGCAGATATTCTAAGGTCGCTCTATGTGTGCAGATATTCTAAAGTTGCTCTATGTGTTCAGATATTTTAAGGTCGCTCTACGTGTGCAGATATTCTAAGGTCGCTCTATGTGTGCAGATATTCTAAGGCCGTTCTATGTGTGCAGATATTCTAAGGCCGCTCTGTGTGTGCAGATATTTTAAGGTTGCTCTACGTGTGCAGATATTCTAAGGTCGCTCTATGTGTGCAGATATTCTAAGGTCGCTCTATGTGTGCAGATATTCTAAGGTCGCTCTATGTGTGCAGATATTTTAAGGCCGCTCTATGTGTGCAGATATTCTAAGGTCGCTCTATGTGTGCAGATATTCTAAGGTCGCTCTATGTGTGCAGATATTTTAAGGCCGCTCTATGTGTGCAGATATTCTAAGGTCTCTCTATGTGTGCAGATATTCTAAGGTCGCTCTACGTGTGCAGATATTTTAAGGCCGCTCTATGTGTGCAGATATTCTAAGGTCGCTCTATGTGTGCAGATATTCTAAGGTCGCTCTGTGTGCAGATATTATAAGGTCGCTCTATGTGTGCAGATATTCTAAGGTCGATCTATGTGTGCAGATATTCTAAGGTCGATCTATGTGCGCAGATATTCTAAGATCGCTCTACGTGTGAAGATATTCTAAGGTCGCTCTACGTGTGAAGATATTCTAAGGTCGCTCTATGTGTGCAGATATTCTAAGGTCGCTCTATGTCCAGATATTCTAAGGTCCCACTGTGTGTGCAGATATTTTAAGGCCGCTCTATGTGTGCAGATATTATAAGGCTGCTCTATGTGTGCAGATATTCTAAGGTCGCTCTACGTGTGCAGATATTCTAAGGCCGCTCTATGTGTGCAGATATTCTAAGGTCGCTCTATGTTGGCAGATATTCTAAGGCCCCACTGTGTTTGCAGATATTCTAAGGTCGCTCTATGTTGGCAGATATTGTAAGGCCCCACTGTGTTTGCAGATATTCTAAGGTCGCTCTATGTGTGCAGATATTCTAAGTTCGCTCTATGTTGGCAGATATTCTAAGGTCCCACTGTGTTTGCAGATATTCTAAGGCCGCTCTATGTGTGCAGATATTCTAAGTTCGCTCTATGTTGGCAGATATTCTAAGGTCCCACTGTGTTTGCAGATATTCTAAGGCCGCTCTATGTGTGCAGATATTCTAAGGCCGCTCTATGTGTGCAGATATTCTAAGGCCGCTCCATGTGTGCAGATATTCTAAGGCCGCTCTATGTGTACAGATATTCTAAGGCCGCTCTATGTGTGCAGATATTCTAAGGTCTCTCTATGTGTGCAGATATTCTAAGGTCGCTCTATGTGTGCAGATATTCTAAGGTCGCTTTATGTGAGCAGATATTCTAAGGTCGCTCTATGTGTGCAGATATTCTAAGGTCGCTCTATGTGTGCAGATATTCTAAAGTCGCTCTATGTCCAGATATTCTAAGGTCCCACTGTGTGTGCAGATATTCTAAGCCCGCGCAAAGATCGCCAAGACAAGAGCTATTGTGTTTACAAATAGCTAGTTTGTCCTGACGAGTTGTCGGCCTTAGACCTCATCATTACACCAAACAAGCAGTCAAAAAATGAAAGGTGGGGCTATTTTTGTTTTACGTTGGCTTTAGGGTTAACATTAAACATTGTAACCCTTCTTGGAAACAGGAAAGCATTATTGAAACGCTCGTGTTAAAAGAATATTTTTCTTCAGCTTAATGATAAGAAAGGCTTCAGCAAATGCTAGAGAAGAGAGAAGAAAGTTCGAGAAATAATTAATAAAACATAATTATCTGCAGACCATTAACACTAAGATTTGTAAAAGCATGGGTAATGTAAGTTTTTTTTTTTATTAAACGGCCATTACAATAATGCATTAGAATATAGCTATTTTAGAAAACCAAGAAAACGGTGGAATTATCTTACGTTTTGGGAATACAGTAGAATGATAGTTATTTTACTAACCCAGTTGACATATAAAGCTATTTTAGGAAATCGGTAGAGAATACTAAATTTAAGAAACCGGACAAATTGTAGAAATTTTCAGAAATAAACATAATTATAGCCATTTACAGAAACCAGCAAAATTGTAGTACTTTTAAGACCCCAAACATTGGGTTTAAAAAAACCAGCAAAATTATAGCCATTTATACAATTCAATAAACCAGTACACTTAAGCCATTTCAGGAAATCAGTAACTCCGAAATGCGAGGGGCATTGATGCATGAATGTGGGGGGTAAATTACTTGTCACGCTCCAAATCTGAAACCCTAACAAGAGTTCTACACAAATTTGATGAGAACGTCACATCCGGTCAGGAATAAAAAAAACTCTCTACCCCAGGACAGTAATGGCAGTCTAGACAAGATTTTAGGGGAGGTCATGTTGACATGACCAGATTTCCTATCACGTCTTTTCTTGCACTTCCGGTATGCGTATCGTCAGCATCTAAGCTGTTATGTACGTAATGATACGTGTGACGTAAACAGCCAGGCAGTCCGATGTTGCAGCTTTTTTAGTGAAGTGGGATGGGTTGGGAGAGGGGAGGGATTGGTAGGAGGGGAGGGTTTGGTAGGAGGGGAGGGGTTGGGAGAGGGAGGGTTTGGTAGGAGGGGAGGGTTTGGTAGGAGGGGAGGGTTTGGTAGGAGGGGAGGGGTTGGGAGAGGGGAGGGGTTGGGAGATGGGAGGGGTTGGTAGGAGGGGAGGAGTTGGGAGAGGGGAGGGGTTGGTAGGAGGGGAGGGGTTGGTAGGAGGGGAGGGGTTGGGAGAGGGAGGGGTTGGTAGGAGGGGAGGAGTTGGGAGATGGGAGGGGTAGGGAGGAGGGGAGTGGTTGGTAGGAGGGGAGGGATGGAGAGAGGAGAGGGGTTGGGAGAGGGGAGGGGTTGGTAGGAGAGGAGGGGTTGGTAGGGGGGAGGGTTGGAGAGAGGGGAGGGGTTGGTAGGAGGGGAGGGTGGGAGAGGGGAGGGGTAGGGAGGAGGGGGGCTGTTTCATGAGCAGGCTAAAGTACCAAAAAGCGAAGTTGTGCATTTCAGATAACCAAAACAAAATGGGACGGCGGTAGAGTGCTAGGCTGGTAATCCAAAAGTCTCGAGTTCGAATCCGTGTCCAAGTCAGTAGAACGTCGCTGAGTCCACCCAGTTCTGGTAGATACCTAACTCACGTTAGGGAAAGTAAAAGCGGCTGGGCAAGGTGCTGACCACACTATACCTTAAAACGCCGAGGTCATGAAACATATGAACTCTATTTCCTCTGCCTAATGGATTGCTTGGTCTAAAGAGAATTCTTTATTATTTTATGTTTATTTTAAAGCAAAATAAAGTAAGTTTTTCTCTTCGCTGTTTTAACTATTTCTAATTAGTAATAAAACAAATGGTGTTAGTTACCTCAGTCTGTTTTATTACTAATTGAATTAACCTCACTGCAGCTACCATTTGTATTTAACTATTTCTAATTGTACCTGGTTATTAAAAAATAAACGATTGTTTTGTTTTTTTTCATTGTTTTTTTTTATATTATTGGACAAGATAAAATGTTACTATTTTGGAAAGTACATGATTTGTTTTAACCATTACGGAAATTCAGTTTTTTCGGGATTTCCCGTTTACCGTTCATCTGTAGTATTTCCCTCGCTAAATATACACGCGATCATCGCATCTGTTGTCTCGATACAGGACCACGTGACATTTTGTATCAGCGTGAGATGGTGTCGGTTGTCCGTGGTTGTATGTGGTAGGATAGGTTATCTGTTGTTCACTGGTCATGGCCTGTATCAGCATAGCTTACATAAACATGGCCCATATTAACATGGCCAACAACAAAATGGCCTAAGTCAAAAGTGTCCTATGAAACAAGGTCTACAGTAAAATGGCCAAATTCAACATGGCCTACATGAACATGGCCCACATCAACATCGCCAAAATCAATATGGCCACATGAACATGACCTACAACAAAATGGCCTACATCAACATCGCCTACATAAACATGGCCTACATAAACATGGCCAAAATCAACATGGCCAACACCAACATGGCCAACATCAACATGGCCAACATCAACATGGCCTACATCAACATGGCCAACATCAGCATGGCCAACATCAACATGACCAACATCAACATGGCCAACATCAGCATGGCCAACATCAGCATGGCCAACATCAGCATGGCCAACATCAACATGATCAAGATCAACATGGCCAACATCAGCATGACCAACATCAACATGATCAAGATCAACATGGCCAACATCAGCATGGCCAACATCAACATGATCAAGATCAACATGGCCAACATCAGCATGACCAACATCAACATGGCCAACATCAACATGACCAACATCAACATGGCCAACATCAGCATGGCCAACATCAGCATGGCCAACATCAACATGATCAAGATCAACATGGCCAACATCAGCATGACCAACATCAACATGATCAAGATCAACATGGCCAACATCAGCATGGCCAACATCAACATGATCAAGATCAACATGGCCAACATCAGCATGACCAACATCAACATGGCCAACATCAACATGACCAACATCAACATGGCCAACATCAGCATGGCCAACATCAGCATGGCCAACATCAACATGATCAAGATCAACATGGCCAACATCAGCATGACCAACATCAACATGATCAAGATCAACATGGCCAACATCAGCATGGCCAACATCAACATGACCAACATCAACATGGCCAACATCAGCATGGCCAACATCAGCATGACCAACATCAACATGATCAAGATCAACATGGCCAACATCAGCATGACCAACATCAACATGATCAAGATCAACATGGCCAACATCAGCATGGCCAACATCAACATGACCAACATCAACATGGCCAACATCAGCATGGCCAACATCAGCATGGCCAACATCAACATGATCAAGATCAACATGGCCAACATCAGCATGACCAACATCAACATGATCAAGATCAACATGGCCAACATCAGCATGGCCAACATCAACATGATCAAGATCAACATGGCCAACATCAGCATGACCAACATCAACATGGCCAACATCAGCATGACCAACATCAACATGACCAACATCAACATGGCCAACATCAACATGGCCTACATCAACATGGCCAACATCAGCATGACCAACATCTACATGGCCAACATCAACATGTCTAACATCAACATGGCCTACACCAAAATGGCCAAAATCAACATGGCCAACATCAACATTGCCAAAATCAACATGGCCAACATTAGCATGGCCATATCAACATGTCCTACAAAAAAATGGCGAACATCCACATGGCCACATCAACATGGCCAACATCAACATGGCCAACATCAACATGGCCAACATCAGCATGACCAACATCAACATGGCCAAAATCAACATGACCAACATCAGCATGACCAACATCAGCATGGCCCAACATCAACATGGCCAACATCAACATGGCCAACATCAACATGACCAAAATCAAGATGACCAAAATCAACATGGCCTACAACAAAACGGCCAACATCGGCATGGCCAACATCAACTTGACGAACATCAACATAGCCTGCACCAACATGGCCAACATCAGCATGGCCAACATCAACATGGCCTACAACAACATGGCCTACATCTATATGGCCAAAATCAACATGGCCAACATCAACATGGCCTACAACAAAACGGCCAGCATCGGCATGGCCTACATCAGCATGGCCAATATCAACTTGACGAACATCAACAAGGCCTAAATCAATATGGCCAACATCAGCATGGCCTGTACCAACATGGCCAACATCAGTATAGCCTGCACCAAATTTGAAAGGCTACCGTCTACTTGTCTATACATGTCAGGCCATATATTGGTTTATTTATAATAATTTATATAGATCTAGACTCCACTAATTGATAGTCTATTCATGTTTTTATAGTTTAAAAAGTAAATATTGCGGTCATTAACCCCACAAATATTGCAAAGTTGCAATAAATTGTTAGCATATTAAAAAAATACTTTCAAGTAACAGGAGAGCAATATTTTTTTTTTGTTTTTCTTTTGTGTCTCCATCTTCTATCCCTCTGACGTCATCCTCCCACACTAGCACCAACAGCACGTACATAATCCTTCAATAATCTTATTCCCAATACACCCACACATCCCCACACCCACACATCCCCACACCCACACACACACACACACACACGCCCACCTGCCTGAACGATGGATTACAGAGTTTCCTCCAGGCATCCAAAAAATGTCTACCCCCCCCCCCCCCCCCGGACGAAATAAAAATTGTGTAGAAAATATATACTTTTACCAGTGTCCACCCCCCTTCCCCCCACCGGAATTTTTAGTCCGCCCCCCTCCCAAAAAATTCAAAGTACCCCCCCCCCCCCAAAGGAGAAAAAAGTCTGGATGAAACACTGATGGATCACCTCAAATCCCACTACACCCCCCCCCCCCCCACCCACCCTACTACGTGTTCATACGCTTGAAAATTTGATCAAACGATTACACATTCATTACACCGGAAGACTAATGTAATCATTACATTTTAGTTATATGGTATTTTTTTAACTATATAGCCATCCACCTTTGCAACCGCCCACCTATCTTTAACATTGTCAGAATCCCTTGAATACTCCATTCTGATACACCGAGACTTGACAACAAAACTTAACATCATCACCTTCACTCATTAATATTTCAAAGTTAATATCTCAGAATAATTAATTAAGCAAAAACCATCGAGGCTCTTAGGGGATTTCAAGCTTTATTAACATAAAACATTGTTATTAGATGCTATTTTTAGACGTGACGTAGGTGATAGACATCGCTTGACTAAATAATTTATCCTTGTTTTACCTTTGTTAAAGTAAATTGTTTAGGATATGTTTAGGTGGAATTAACAAAGGTGTTGTTAAATAAAGTGTAAGCTTAAGACAGCTTGATGTGGGTGTATGTCAGTCTAAAGAGTCTGCAAGTCTGGAAGTCTGAGAGAGTGTACTTTTGATGTCAAATCGCGTACCGCCTTGTCCCTTTATGTGAAGACTCGTTTATCAATGGTTTAAACTCTAGCATGTAAGCTTGAGGTATAATTTTTTTTTAAAAACACTTCCTTAACAACAATGTGGGACGGCGTGGTCGGGTGGCATTGCTTACGACATTTAAGTATCGAGTGCGAATGACGTCGGCGTGGTCGAGTCGGTAAAGCTCATGATTGCTAAACCGAAAAGTTTCGAGTTCTGGGGGCATCAACTCTTCTAGGAGAGACAACTACAAAATCAAACAACTGCTGCCTTGTAGCTTGTTCTTGGTTGTACAAAGGCCATGGAAAATAAAATACTTAAAAAAAACTTTTTAAAAAACCACGTTTTTCTTGTGGACTAAAAAGTAGAAAATAATTTTTTCTTTTGTGCTTCCTCGAGCTGTGCAGGTTCTTGTGATGACTGACAAAAAACGTGGGTACGTTCACCATCAAATTTCCCGACCCATCTGCCCGACCCACGTTTTTTGTCAGTCATCACAAGAACCTGCACAGCTCGAGGAAGCACAAAAGAAAAATTTATTTTCTACTTTTTAGTCCACAAGAAAAACGTGGTTTTTTAAAAAGTTTTTTTTAAGTATTTTATTTTCTCCTTTTTAGTCCGTTGCTACACATGAAACACGTGGTTTTTAAAAAAGTGTTTATAAATACACGGACTAAAAAAAAATCTTGAGCGACCAGGATTCGAACCTGGGTTGTCGCGGCCACAACGCGAAGTACTAACCACTATACGATCACGGCCAGCGCGCTCACATCGATTGGGGCCGAAGTAACTGTGTCAACAAGCCTCCAGTCTTGTCGGTATCTTTAGAAATCATGTCCTCAATTTTATGGTCCTTTGGGCGTAATTAAATTAAGCTAATTACGGTCTCTAATTGCTAGTTTTTATGATTGCATCTGAAATTGTTAGGCGAAAGTAACCTGCATGCCAAATTTCAGATCTATAGAGCAATCAGAAGTGGGCTAATTTTCGATGTCAATTTTAACAACAAACACATCCACGCGAAGCTGAGTTAATAAAAACGTGTTAAAAATCCAAAAAGAAAAGCAGGCTGAAATCGGAGTCAACGGCGCATAACAAGTTGACATGTACTACCTAATTGGAGGGAATCCCTTTGAACACAAAAATTAAGCACGAAGAAATAAAAAATAGTTAGAATCATAGGATCGAGTTTGTTGGACGTCCTTGAGTTCACTCAGCTCTGATAGGTACCTAACCCACGTCAGGGAAAGTAAAGACGGTTGGGCACAGTGCTGACCACATTATTCCTTTATATGGAGAAGTTACAGAAACAGGTGAACTCTACTTCACTTGCCCCATGGACCGTCATGCTCTAAAAGGAACTTTACTTTTAATTAGATGACACGTTCTGTTGTTGTTGTTTTGTTTTGTTTTTTTAACTAGAGCTATACAACGCTAGCATAATTTATTAACGTTCATGTCAAATGCACATAAACAGCACGCGAGAAACTACAAAATACACACTGAAAACAACACACAACATCAGCACATGTGTAAACGGCAAATACTCCTCTATATATCACGACAAACAAAAACACATGCTCCCCTCCACCCCCACCCCCCTCCTCTCACATATTTCTCAGATCATCCAGCTATTTTAATTATCTTTATTTTCCAACAAGTCACTGGACATTTGACATTTGTCAAAAATGACACAGATGTCATTCAGATTTCTCAAAAAACTAATCTAATCATGATCACAATATCCCTAATTGTGCTCATATCTTGGTGATGACAGAAAAATATTGAATAGAAAAATATCAAGAAAATAGAATTGATTGGGACTTTGCTGAAAGGCTCGTCTTCAAAATGAAGGAAATCAACAAACTAAAAACATTGCTTTATAAATTTAAATGTTAAAAAATCGAAAAAAAATTCTTATGTAATACTTTTTAAATCTTGGTGATTTTTCCTTATTTAATTCAACATAAGTGAAGATATTTTGACAAATGTTCAATGAGAATGTAAAAAACTTATTTAACTAAGCGCAAACTTTGTGTAATTATGACAGTTTAACGGAATATCAAGATAATGGTGTTATATGATGGTCTTCGTAAGGTCATACCATTATAATGACAAGGCAACAGGGTATCAAGATAATGGTGTTATAGTAAGGTTATTCCTAATTCACGACCGCCCCGCCCCCCCCCCCCCCCCCCACCTTTACCCCGAACCCTAACTAAGCAAAACATTCCTTCCCCGACTTCTCTTTCCTCCCCAAACCCCCCCCCCCCCCCCAGCCCCCCCCCCCCCTTCCTCCATGAATCTATTAGGCTAATCCTTCCTTTGAATTGTTAAAAAATTGCTTCAAGTTGACTTTTTTCCCACATTCAACGTTTTTTAAACGTATTAAAAATAGTAAAGACGGCTTTAAAACGGCTGCAATGTATAAGATTTATTTTAATCTCAATTTTTATATAGTCTTTTTACAATACAACTGGGGAAAGCGCCTTATCTCATTAAATCTTTGAGCAGGTAATCTTTTAAATAAATTATCTTCGTGCAAGTAATCGTTTAAATAACTTATCTTTATAAAGCTGACTGATATATCATACCACAAGTGGATGTTTTAGCGTTATATTTAAATGTAGGGTTAGGATTTGTGTTTAGGCAGCTACAGTGGTTCTTAGCCAGGGTTCGATCGAACCCCAGGGGTTCGGTGAGTCAGCCTCAGGGGTTCAATATTGTCAATACTGATTCACATGTATAACGGAACTTGAATGGAGTCAGCGTCGTAACTGCATGATTTGCAATACTAAGTTAAGCAAGTGCAGTCTGGCACCGGCTACTGGGAGATGGAGGAGGTCAAGGTGAAGCCGCGCATTTCTGAACTGGTGAGTTTAAGACAACAAAAAAGTCACACTGATTTATTATTGTTTTTTTATTGTTGTGTTCAAACCGTATTTTTATGGTTTGTTCTTTGAGTGATGTTGATGCATGGTTCATTTTGTAAGCCACTAAGATATACACCTATGTTTTGAATTCGAAGAAAATGATATTTTATTTTTCCGATTAAGAAGGATTCGATGAATGCGCATAGGTCATAGGAAGCTGATGGGGTTCGGTACCTCAAAAAGGTTTAAAACCACTGGTTAACGATAGATTTATATTTACGGAGTTATGGTTAATCGTAAAATAAAGAATCCGCTTTAGATCTAGCGATCCATTGGGAAGATGAAGTAGATTCATAATATTTCTTGACCTCGGCATATGAAGGGATAGTATGTCAGCACTTTTGCCCAGCCGCCTTTACTTTCCATGAGTTAGGTACCCATCAGAGCTGGGTGGACTCAGGGACGGTCTACCGCTTAGGCCACGCCGTCCCATACTGGATACTAGTAGATGATGTAATAACCTTCAGTTTCTTCCAGGCATCTCATCGGGGGGAGGGCTCCGCCCACCCCCCCCCC